GGCCCGAGAGAGTTTGCCAGCCCAGTGGGACACTCTCATGGCAGATTAATGGAAGCATGGCTAATTGTTGGAAGAGGAACCCCACAGCTACAGACATTAACAGGAAGGTCCTAACTTCGTGTTAACCATTTCTGCCTTCAAGTATAAAAAAAACCCAAATTATTCCTTAAACTTTCTACTACACTGTGTGCTGTGCCTGACATAGCCTTTTTTAGAAGGAGAAAATTAAGAAAACGTTTACAGATGTGAAGCGTTTCTTCAATAGAATGGCAATCCGTCGCGTAAAATGAAAGCAATTTATTCCAATAAAAATATTCAAGTGACATTTGCAATGCGCGATTTTGTGATTCCCTTTGGAAATGACTTTGGCCGGGTTCCATTGACAAGGTTATGGTGGTAGGAAACAGGGCGCCGGAGAAAAAAACGAAGGAACGAAGACAAAATAGGTAAATACAAAACCGACACTGCTCTTAATAATGGCAATGGAAACCCTCAAATATCACTAGCCAAACGTAATTGACAGGAGTAACGATAATAGGGGTCCCGTCGTGCAGCGGATTGCACGTGCTGCATCAGACTGCACGAGACTGTGTGCTTGCCTCTTAACATGTCCCCTACAGAGTGGGGAGAAAGTTAAAATTTAATTGGTTTCCTCCGTTCTATTACCGGAGGATGATTCCTGGTAGACAAGAAGATGGCTTCGGATTTTAAAACGAGTCCATAAGTAAAAGCATATGATGTTACTGACTTTGATTTGAAATGCTTGACATTAAAGGATGACCTTTGTGTTTTTATTAAATATTTAAATTGAATAAACTGTATTTATTTTAATAAAGATCCACTCGAAACTTTCAAGACGAGGCAATTCGACTTTCTTTCGGTTCTTAACAAGTACAGTGACGTGTACATTTCTGAAATTATATCCAGTTGAATTATATAATATAGTATGAGATAATGAAGTTAAAGAAAAATGTCTTTCAGAAAGAGCGTTTCTCCATAACTGCTATTGCATCACAATAAACAGATCTTCGTACAGCAACTATTTATGCAACTTCATGTAGATTTGTTACATAAATTAATAAAATCAATATGTCATCGATATAAATATGATGATTAAGTGATGTATGAATATTCGTTTTGTACATAATATGTTGTATCCCTTTCTTCTCATATATTCAACATTTCAAAAAAGATAATACCGAAACATCTACAAAACGGCTATTCGAACAAAGAGTCGACAAAGCTGGCAAAATATGAACAAATAAAATATTAACACGGTAATCTTTGAAAAAGTACTGAGAGAATAAGACCTTATGTTCCGGGAGGGTAAGCGTCATCTTATCAAATCTCGGTAATGTCACGTTCTCCAACTAAGAACTGGGGTAGTGTCAACAAAGCAACAAAGCAACAAAGCACACTGATAAACATCAAAAAAATAATATATATATATGTTTTTAAAATGATATCATATTGGCGACTAACAAGGTTTTAAAATAAGGCCACAGCTTCACAGTATGTTAAAACATTCCAAAAGTGTCGTTAATGTATAGACAGGTCAATATGTGAATCTATTTCCGGTATTTTGTCTTTTAAATATGTATCTTCTCATCAATCAATCATGCATACATATAATATATTGACACTGTACGTCTATCATGGAACGGGTTTCCTCGTGTGACCTTTGGTGATTAGGGGTTCCCTGTGTGAATGTTATATAATACAGAAGTTGTTTTAGCTAAATGCTTCCCGGAAAAATGCTGCCCAATTATTCCTTATCTATGAAACGTTTTATGGAGTTTTTTCACCCTTTTTTTTAAGTCTGTACCATTCAAATAAAATGGATTTATCAATAATATCGTTAAACGTTTACTATTGTGTAACTAGTATCAACCAGAGTTATTGTGTTTGAGTTAGGATTGCATCCCCAGGTATTGATTGTTACGTCATTGGTTTGTGCGAGAAAATTACGTCGTTTTCTCAAAAATTGATGACGTTACTCTCACAAAAAAGTGACGTAACAATCAATATCTGCTCCCAAGAGAAGATAACTCTGCAATACGCAAAGACGGAATACCATTTGGTGTACCCAAAACGGGATTTTTTCTTTTAAATAATGATATATTTTTTACCACAATATTGGTATTTTGGCTTATATTGGATGATAAGCGATCAATATAAACAGAAAATTACACATAGGTTAAATACTTCAGACTTAAAGGTGGTTCCGATTCAATTTCATTATTTTTTTCTTTCGATAATGTTGAAAAAAACGTTTTCTGAAAATGATATCCAAATAGATAGAGTCGCAAAGCATGTAAATTGTGAAACCTGTGGTTTCGAAATCATTTCTAACCTTAAACTGTCCGATTGACCATCATCAACAACCAATCAAACCGATATACGGTTAAATTGACATGACGGTATCATTTAGTGAACATTTCATGCATAAAAATAATTCATTGAATTGCAACCGATTTCTTTGGTCCGCTTTCCTACAGATGTCCCGTTCATTTTGGGTACACTGACGTTATATATAAACAGTAATCCGTTTGCATATTCCCTATTGGGCGTTTAATGTAGATATTGTTGTTAGGCCCCCTCTTCTCTCTTCAGCAGTAGTGCTTCAATAAAAACCTTTGTGACTGTTTTGTCAAGGAATGAAACTATCATTCAGTTGTTGTAAACATTTTTACATCCCACTTTGTCAAGATCTATCCATTTCAAACGCCATTGCCTTCGTCATCGAACATTATTTTTTGAATATTTTGAATCAATGTATTAATTCACACTTTTATACTTTATATGAATGAAATAACTATACTTGGTGAGCCCCATTTTCGAATTACTAAACAGTGTTCAGCACGTAGGACTGCCATTACAAACGACCATTTATGAAGCAGGAATAAGCAAGATCACTCATTAAAAAAACCTATAGGAAAGGTATCGGTGTAAGTGTGATTGACGATTCTCTAAGATTGGTAAACATTGCGTGTCTAAGGGACATGTGAATCGTTCGTTATAATGTGCTTTTTGGTTTGCAGTTGGTGAATTTTGTCTGCCAACCTTTATCATGTAACAAGGAAGTAAAAAAGGCCTTTATCGTAAACAAGATAAAAACATATTGCCCATTTGCATGTTTTGAAAATCGAACAGCTAGATCAATTAACAATTGTCAGTGAGGTGTTTCTTGATAATTGAACTGCCAGTAAAATTTGATAATCGTCAGTGAGGTGCTTCTTGAAATCGAGTAGCTAGACCAATTAACAATCGTCAATGAGGTGTTTCTTAGAATCGAACAGCTAGTACAATTTAACAATCGTCGATGAAAGTTTCTTGAAATCGAACAGCTAGTACAATTTAATAATCGCCAATGAAGAATTTCTCGAAATCGAACAGCTAGTACAATTTAGCAATTGTCGATGACAGTTTCTTGAAATCAAACTGCTAGTCCAATTAAGCAATCGTCAATGATGAGTTTCTGTACTTTAGGAGAAAACAATGCCATTCAAAAATATGTAGAATCAAAAAGAATATTTGAAACTTATGCAGATTGGTGCAATTTTGGGCGTGAATCCTTATGATAGTTTGAAAACTCCTCAAAGGCGATTTAGTAACTCGGACAAGGCAAGGTGTGTTTTCAGCAGGATTTTGTAATTATCATTTATGATATCAGTGATAAAAACAACAGGTAAGAAATCAAAACAAAATAACGTATGCTTTTTTTTATATAAAAACCAAGAATTTTATTTCTCACTCGTCCAAATATTGTAGAAAGTTGTATTTCACATCTAATGCATAGTACAAAATCTGGCGACACCTTAATAAGGTGTCCGTTGTCATAAGGCACTCAAGCTCAGTAACAAAAGTAAAAGTCTCCAAATGAACAATGCCGATAATTAAAAATTTCACAGGTGAAAATGATTGAAAAAATGAGAACGAAAAGGATGGATGCACACGATAGGAACTCCGATTTCACTACCGGATATTGTATTTCCCGACAGGACAGTATAAAAGGTGAGTAGAAATGTGTTTTTTTTGTATTTATACAATTTATGTGGATTTGTTTGCATTGGAATGAGTTTCTTAAGATATTTTTTTGCAATATATTCTTTTTCAGTAAAACATTGTTTTCATGTTTTTTACAATCGGATCTTTAACTAATGTAGATGTAGATAACACAATGTTTAATTACACTTAATTTATAGAAAAAATGGTTTTCACGAACGTTCTTTAGACAAACTCATTCACCCCTGAAATTTCATAATGATATAATGAACTATTCAAAGCTTTTTATTGGAAGAGTTTAAATGTGTCTTCAGGGGTGAATGAATTAAGATATTTCCTGAACCTAAGCAATGTTTTCCATACAGGGAAAATCATCTTAATGAAATCGTCTTTGTTCAAATATTAAGGCGTTTTGACGCAAAAAAATGTCATATGATGTGATGCATAAATGATTTTATCCTAATAATGATACTAATCAACCAATCAGACTTGCTTAAATACAATTTTACTTTAATAGGAAGCATTGAAAAATTTAATGCAAACTTGTAAAAAAATAAATAATTAGAAAAACTTTCAAAAATGTTGTCTTATTATTTTGTAATAAATATTTGAATAAATATTGATAAATACATCTGAGGACACACAACACGGCACACAAATACACACGCAATAAATATATGGACAGGTATGTACAAAAAAATTGTAAATAAGAAATATTCACAAAAATAGGACATTTATTATAAATATGTCTATCTTTGCTGATTAAGAAAATATTTTCTAAGGATATAAAAAATTGTCGTATTTTCCTTTGTAATATATATTATATATATATTTATATTCTTACTTTTGTTTGTTATATGCTATTCTTCTTCTTTTGTTTGTTATAAAAAGTTTGTACATACATCAGAAAATTATTTACAATTTCGTTTCTGTTGCATGTATTATTATTTTTATTATGTAAATATTTATATATTTATTTTTGTTTACAAGACGGAAATAATTGAAATTAATTGAAATTTAGATTAAACCGGTCCAGGAAAACGTCACAAAAAATAAAGAATCAACATTAAATCAAATATATATAAAGATTTAGAGATGAATTTGAGTTTGACTCGTACACAACTGATGAAACACTTTACGTTAACATTTAACCAAGTGACTTGTCCACTTTGGTTGGCTTTAATGTCCGTGAGACACACTTGACCTAACAAAGAAATAAGAAAATAAAAAACTTACCACTGGTCATCAATATGATCAATATTTGAATACACTTAAATTTAAATGAATTTAAACATTTTTTTACAAATGTGAAGTTTCGGCCACAAGACGTCTAACTACGGCCTGTATATTTACATGAAATGCATAGAGTAAATAAATAATAATTGTACAGCGCTCTATCATAAATTATTCATCTTTTTCTAGAATTAATGCAATAATGATTAGCAATCTATTAATACTATATATTATTGATAAATTAAATAAATTAATTTCTACAATAACTTAATGACATTGTACTCTCAATAAATACAAATGTTCGTATCTATAAATTAAGCACTATTTGTAAACAAATCTTAGCTGAAATGTATTTGAACTTTGAAAACAGGAGAAGGTGAGAAAACGCGATGTGATCTGCATCAAAATGTCAATAGAACTCATTTTTCCCTAAATTATTATATGATTTGTTATACAAATGTATATAAATTCGAACTGCAAGTTTTGAAAAAATTGACAGTACTGTGACGTTTGTTTTATGTGTGACAAATCTGCGTCTATGCCCTTCTCCTATTTGTTCCAATCAAAGCGTTTAGTCGATGTTCCCTGCTCATATCAAAAAGGTAAACGTTTAAATAATGGTATAAATAAAATCAAACAAAGTAATAAACTACGTTGTAGGTATGATAAATACTAAGGAAAAGGCGTTACACACACCAAACAATGACACCACACCCAACTCGAAACACAGCAATGGTTCAAAGCGTCCGTCAATGCCACTACCAAACTGTTGCACAAGTACCCCGCCATTTGCAAACCGTAGACTTCTACGGAGTCATAGATAAAGAAAAATATAATTATTAACAGAGATAATTTAAGAAAACACTTCAAAGAAAAAACATTTACAATTGATTCCCCTGTTAGACGAAGGTGTATTAAATAAATAGAACAGCTTTTGTGATTGGGTATTCAATATCAGCGCACTTGACGTCATAATTGGTGCCACAGTGTGACTCAGAATGAGGTAAGAGTGCAATTATACATCAAAATTGTGTATATGTACACCTTGAGAAGAAGGTAAATAAATAACCTTGAACGCCGGCCAAAGTAAAACAACAAACGTTGACGATATCTCCAGAGGGGAAACATAACACTTGGATACTGTGGCTGAGTAACGCTGTGTTAGATATTGAAACCCTTGGCAGGTTGGAGAGATTGCTTACTGAGTCACTTATTGATCAGTGATTCACGACTTATGGCTAGATGTATATTTCTAATACGTCATCACTATATGCAAATCAATTCACCATGCTGCCATTTATGTCGCTATGAGATATCTCAAAAAGTAATATGTTCTTCAGAAATTATCCAAAGGAGAGTATTTGTAACGAGATCAACATAGCCAGTATCTACTGCTAAATTATAGGTTTATAGGGATTGGGAATGCGCATGCGTGTTTCTGAAAAAAATAACGCGTTAAAAAAAGGTTTGATGACGTTTATGTAATTGACAAAAATCATTTACCAACATTAAATCTAGAAACAATCTAAACTTTGAGCTAACTCTTGTTTATCGCATTTGTGGACGATGATAATCTGAAATGAACTGATTTGAGCTTATTGGGGAAAAATAATGAATTGCTATCATCGAAACATATTAACGTGAGACACAAACTGTGTAATGCACATCTAACGACGCCATTGCATCGATTTTAATAATGACACATCGAATCCGAAATGACGTCATCGACCTCGAGACTGACGTCAAATACGCATTAATATGAGTTAAATATAAAAATGTAAATATTTGAACTATGAAGACAGGATGGAACAATAACAAAAATCTAATTAGAATTACCGACAAGAAATGGGATTTTTGTAAATAAAACTATTCTGTCAACATAAAAAACTAGTATGATATTTTGCTGTGCCCTATGGAATATACCAGAATGATTGATGAAGTTGGTTGCTATATTAAAGCAATGTCTGGAATGCTTACAGTTAAAAAAATGTTTTGAAATCTCCAAGTTGTGTTTGAAGGAATAGTTTGAAGCAGAAATGTCGGAAATGTTTGAGCATCTAAAAGGATACTCAATGAAAGGTTATTGTCATATATAGAAACAATACAAATATTTGCAAAAAAAAAAAAGACTTATTCATACAAAAATCTTATAGATTGGTCCTCTGTATCCTTGTATGTCATTGGTCAGCACGAAAATTCGTCCACGTAAAGGTCAAGGTCATGGTTTTAATGTCAAAAGACGGTTGCCGTAGTTACCATACGGGCATCAAGTTCGATTCTTGTGTGTGCGGACTTTGTATTGTTCTCATATCTTCCGGTTCCGATACAATGTCGTCTATGTCCATCGACTTTTTATTCCTCTGTCCCCTCATACAGGACGACTCCTCGTGCTTGTATAGGTAGCTCTTAAGGGCGAAGGCCTTTCCACATCGACCACAGGTGTACGGTTTTTCCGGTGAGTGTGTCTGAATGTGCGCGCGCAAGTTGGATTTGTCCGCGAAGCACTTGCCACATTTTGGACAGTTGAATGGCTTCTCGCCCGTGTGCGTTCGAATGTGTCCCTGTAGCAACCATGGTCGGCTGAAGCGCTTGCCGCAGTACATACACTCGCACCCTTGGCTGTGGGTTCGAACATGCATGCTGTAGGCCGGCATTGACACGTATACTTTCTCACAGTGGGGACACTTTCGAGCTTTCTTGTCGCTGACGCTGCGGTGTGTCTGTCGGTGTCGCGCGAGATTGCTGGACGTACTGTAGCGTTTGCCACACTCCAAACATATGTGAGTGTCGGTCAATGAAGACCCATCAGGCTGATCATGCCCAAATGGCTGGTGGACGAGCTCCTGCAAGGGAGATAACACTTTTGTGCACGAGGAGTAATCCGGTTCGTCAAAATTTAGAACACGCACGGCCTCCGACTCGTGTTCGTAAAAATCTTTACATGCCGTTTTCCTCGGACTCTGGTTGATGAAGTCGAACAGAAGAGATATGTGATCGGAGCAATCGAATCGACATTCCATTTTGGGGGATAAGTCCGGCCGGGATTCATGGCGGGGAGATGAAGTGTAGCTGCTGTAGTCGCTATCCCCCTCGTCTGATGACAGATGGGACGGGGGAGGGGGTGGCTGCAGGGGGGCAGGCGATGGCACCGGCGAAACATCTGCAACATAGAGGAGGCAGTTCAAGGAAAATGCACAAAGTAATATTATAACATTATTGCAAAGCAATATACGATCTAACTATATTTTTTGGGATGAAATGCATCTTTTAATCATTAATTAAGATATACATTACAGATAATCAAACATATTTCGCGACGATGCGCAGTAGCAGTAACTTTTCAATATTGATATTTTTCAATTAGAGTTATGACGTGTAACATCTATAATTGTGACGTCACTATGTGTAACACTGTGATGACGTTAGTCACGATTGTGTGGCGAGTGTAAAAAATGACGACGACTTTATTTATTTTGATTAATTTTCTCTTATTCAATAATTAAAGTCTTATTTGAATGCAACTATATAAAAAGTATGATAAACAGAATCCTAAACTCGTAACCAATTTTTATTTTTTTTATTTTTTTTTATTTCTGTAACTATAGCTCGTTTCATGAAAAATGCTTTATAATGAAAACTCATTAAAAAATCCTTTTAATAATTGTAAAGAATTTACGACAGCACAATCAGGTTCAATGGTATTCAAGTGAAGCTGTCTTATTTTCAAATCCAGGCTCTATAATAACCTCAATCGAGCCAGTTATATGTATAACGGTCATCATTGGTCAAGCCTACAAGTTAATTTTCCCTTATTACTTAGGTCCTATTTGGCTAATGCATTGGTCAAGGTCATTAGTTGACTTTAGAAGCCTTGTACTATTACATATCTTCATAATGCACGCTATGATAGGGGGGTTTATAATGGGTAGGCTAATATTGATGTGGGCTTTGGGAATTGTCGTGTTTGGATTGGGGAATAATTAAGTTCACCTTGAGAATTATCTACAATAATAGTGAAATCTACACCAAATACTTGTGGGTAAGAAGCGAACGTAATATACACGTATTTACAAACAATTACAACAGTAATTAGCTAGTTAATCTTCAACTTTTGCCGTCTCCTGTTTGCAGTGAACCAAAGATGCGAATAACGGTTATAACAGCCAGAGCTAGCAGCAACAGCAGCAGCGCAGCCTCATACCAACTCGTGACAAATGAAAACAAATTATGAATGGCAGATTAGGTGTCACGTGACTACTATTGAAATGCCATTACCGAGCGTAAGCCACTGTAAGTGGAACTTGTCCTACCGCCGAACAAAGGGAGTCTGCTGCCGGCGCGGGGGAGGAGGGGGAGCTGGGAGGAGGTGGAGGGGAGGAGGATGAAGGGGAGGGGTACAATCTTACTGGATATAGGGGGTAAACTGATATAGAGCGACCCCGGTGAAACTCTCCCTTTTATACATTTCTACAGTATAATATTATTTAATACAAATGTTCATATCTATTTGGCAAAAAGTGTATTCTAGCCCATGCCTTGATAGTTAAAAAATAAATTAAGCGTTGGTTTAAAAAAAAACCACTTCTTGTATGAATTGCCTAATTATTTTTCGTTCATATAAACATGTTAACGCTATAGAAATCTTAAAGTGTTAGATTACGTCAATACTTTTATTATGATTCATGCTTAGAACGAAATGAAGATATATCCAAACATTTAAGACAATATGAAAGTATTCAACTTGTTTGATGAATTAATTATTCCGATACGCGAAGATATGGTTATGTAGATATTCTAAGAGTCTTTACAATTAATTAGAATGTCAATTTCGTATTATCGCCCATTAACGAGGGCGATAGAGAAGTGAACGAGCAAACGAACCGACCAGGACCCACCGAAAGCACTGCCAGAATCTCACAAAGACACTGTCAGACCCACAAAGGGGACTGAGAGACTCACAAAGACACTGCCAGACCCACAAAGGGGACTGAGAGACTCACAAAGACACGAATAGGCCCACAAAGGCCTTGACAGATACCCACAAAGGCCCTGACAGATACCCACAAAGGCAACTCGAATCGTGGTCAAAGCACCAGAACAGTCAGTGGCCAATATTACTTTTGGCAGCCTTTTTATTCTCCCCAACCCAGTGCCAGGGCTAGTCCGTTTGGTTCCATCATGGTATCAGACGTTAGAGAGTATTGAAACTTTCCTGTTAAGTGAAGCACACAGAAGAAGGCCAGGGGTGTTGATTTCATAGACATTTTTACCAGAATGATTTAATTTGAGTAGGTACATAATTCATTATGAATGTTGTATATGATAAGGTTGTGGGAATTTACGAAAATAAATTTGTTTTGCATAATAAAATCAGCACTATCAGAGTTAAGATGAAGTAAGAGAATTTTTCGCATAATACATAAAAAATTAAGAATATAATAAATGTTATGTATTTAAATTTGATTTGGAGTTGAAAAACCAGAATATATATTTTTTAAATAATAATCTGGTACCATGTTGTTTGAAAGATACGATGTCCAAAAAAATAATCCAAAGGTGTGATTATACAAGATGTGATGTCTATACGATGTCTGCATGCAGGGCTAGATGACCAACGGTCATTTCTATCATCAAATGACCCAGGATTGATCATATTCAAGTAAAAAATTGCATAAGTTGAATATCAAGTTCGGCATAAGGAAAAATCTGTAAAAGTTTTTTTTTAAGATAAATTATCATTAGATAATATGTTTTCGTTATTAATCAATTACGGACTTCTGTTCAGGTGTACATGAGGTTATATGAACATGAGAAAATGATATTGACCGAGACGGAGTAAAAGATGCAAGACATACATAAATGTAGAAACAAGAATAGTATTAGAATGATATTGATGGACAATATTACAAATTTCGAAATTATCACTTTGGAAATTTATAGGAAAATAAGAAAAGAATAAGAAAAGAAGCAATATGAAAATGTTTAAATGATTAATAAACTAAGCAATATTTTATTTTTTCGTCGGCAGAGAAATATGGTTTTAGCGCAAACCTTTACATTAATTTGAATATTTTATGATATTTCGCTTGAATTACAGATAAATCCTGAAAAAAACTATTGCAATATACCGATTCCAAATGTCACACAATGTCTATTAAAAACAAAATCATTTAGATAGGTCCCACATACATGACAAAGAGGTTGACATCTCAACAAATCCGCCAATACATACAAACCAATCATCACGAATCCACAGAAAATATCCATGTTTCGTAAGTTTTTGATAAAACTAAAATACTTACCAATATTCTTTTGGTAGACAACTTCAAATTCAACATTTGGTAATAGTTTTTCTGTTTGTTGGCCAGACGTGGAATGTCTTTTGGAGAAATATCGCCGATTTGTAATGAGAAATGCCCGAGGCATGGTTACTGCTTACTACACCACTACACGAGCTTGGTAAAGTTCCAAATGTTGTACTACGGTGCTCGTGCGCACGCGGTAACGGCTCGAGACCGGCAGCCCCCTTTGCACTCAACAAGTGGCAAATGAACAGCTCGCTTTCTTGGCGTTGTTTTGTTTATCAGTGAATGTGTACGTCGGCTCCGCGGAGCTCCCAGAGGCTGGGACGAGAAGGAGGAGGAAGAATAGGGACGGGGAGGGGGAGGTCCATGGGTCTACTCAAATTTCTGCCAGCCACCGACGAGTAAGTTTGGGAGGCTTGAGAAACGTCTTGAATGAATTGCCTTGACAGCGCACGCGAGAGTGTTTACTTCGGGAGCCTTAGGTCACCGTGAACAGCGTACCAGATCTTATCGGCGCGGTTTTATGCCTGTTGTGAGAAAGTTTTGGAAAAAGTTCCCATCCGCTGGTCTCTGTTGTAAATAGGATTTTCAAAAGTCAGTTTCAATACTGGTCATCAAATCCGCCCTGGACAACATAAAACTGTTGAACATTTTATTGTGTTTTTGTGTGGCTGTTTGTTTGAAATATCATGATTAAAAAAATAAAGATTTTAAATTTTGTTTTATTCGAATTACAGAAAACGTAATTGATGATTCGTTGTGTTCTGTATAGCATGTTTGTAAACAGTTTTTATTAATTGATTAATCTTTCATTGACATACAAGAAAAACAAAATAGAGTCACGAAAAGAGCTTTTTAGAAAAGCCTACTTCTTTTGTCCTTAACATGTACACCAAAATACTCAAAAATGTGTAACATATGTTTTAGACAATGTTGCTAATAACAATATATACAAAAATTGTATAAATAATCGATTTCTGTGATACCAATATCGCCTGGATCTTCCGACCGGAATATTCATATAAATTCTTTTATGATGAATGGCTTGTGTTCTTGTAAACGCTAAAATGCAAACATACGAAACATACACATACTACTTGGGTTTATGTAGCTGTCAAAACAGTCTTCCGTGAGGTTACAAAAGGTCGGACGAGGTCCTGGTAATGTCATATTGGAGGCACAAGTTATTTAAGGGCTGTTTTTGAGGTGGAAGTGAAATAGTGTTTCTGTATATGATTGGTGGAAGTGACAAAGTCGGTTTTTATGTTTGATGGAAGTGACATAATTCGTATGAATTTGTCGTAAGCGATAAAGTTTGTCTTTATGTTTGATGAAAGTGATAATGTTTGTATTTAAGTGACAAAGTTTGTCTTTATGTTTGGTGGAAGTGACAATGTTTGTCTCTATGTTTGGTGGAAGTGACAAAGTTTGTCTTTATGTTTGGTGAAAGTGACAAAGTTTGTCTTTATGTTTGGTGTAAGTGAAAAAGTTTGTCTTTATGTTTGGTGGAAGTGACAAAGTTTGTCGTTATGTTTGGTGGAAGTGACAAAGTTTGTCGTTATGTTTGGTGGAGGTGACAAAATTTGTCTTAATGTTTGGTGTAAGTGACAAAGTTTGTGTTAATGTTTGGTGGAAGTGACAATGTTTGTCTTTATGTTTGGTGGAAGTAACAAAGTTTGTCTTAATGTTTGATGGAAGTGAAAAGGTTTGTCTTTATGTTTGGTTTAAGTGACAAAGTTTGTCGTTATGTTTGGTGGAAGTTACAAAGTTTGTCTTTATGTTTGTTGGAAGTGACAATGTTTGTGTTTATGTTTGGTGTAAGTGATAAAGTTTGTCTTATTGTTTGGTGTAAGTGACAAAGTTCGTGTTTATGTTTGGTGGAAGTGACAAAGTTGGTCTTTATGTTTGGTGGAAGTGACAAAGTTGGTCCTTATGTTTGGTTTAAGTGACAAAGTTTGTCGTTATGTTTTGTGGAAGTTACAAAGTTTGTCTTTATGTTTGATGGAAGTTACAAAGTTGGTCTTTATGTTTGGTTTAAGTGACAAAGTTTGTCTTAATGTTTAGTGGAAGTGACAAAGTTTGTCTTTATGTTTGATCGAAGTGACAAAATTTGTCTTTATGTTTGGTGGAAGTGACAAGGTTTATCTTTATGTTTGGTGTAACTGACAATGTTTTTCTTTATATTTGGTTGAAGTGACAAAATTTGTCTTAATGTTTGGTGTAAGTGACAAAGTTTGTGTTTATGTTTGGTTTAAGTGACAAAGTTTGTCTTTATGTTGAGCGAAAGTAACAAAGTTTGTGTTTATGTTTGGTGGAAGAGACAAAGTTTTTCTTTATGTTTGGTGTAACTGACAAAGTTTTTCTTTATTTTTGGTTGAAGTGACAAAATTTGTCTTATTGTTTGGTGTAAGTGACAAAGTTTGTGTTTATGTTTGGTGGAAGTGACAAAGTTTTTCTTGATGTTTGGTGTAACTGACAAAGTTTTTCTTTATTTTTGGTTGAAGTGACAAAATTTGTCTTATTGTTTGGTGTAAGTGACAAAGTTTGTCTTTATGTTTGGTTTAAGTGACAAAGTTTGTCTTAATTTTTAGTGGAAGTGACAAAGTTTGTCTTTATGTTTGGTTTAAGTGACAAAGTTTGTCTTTATGTTTGGTTTAAGTGACAAAGTTTATCGTTATGTTTGGTGGAAGTTACAAAGTTTGTCTTTATGTTTGTTGGAAGTGACAATGTTTGTCTTTATGTTTGGTGGAAGTAACAAAGTTTGTCTTAATGTTTGATGGAAGTGAAAAGGTTTGTCTTTATGTTTGGTTTAAGTGACAAAGTTTATCGTTATGTTTGGTGGAAGTTACAAAGTTTGTCTTTATGTTTGTTGGAAGTGACAATGTTTGTCTTTATGTTTGGTGGAAGTAACAAAGATTGTCTTAATGTTTGATGGAAGTGAAAAGGTTTGTCTTTATGTTTGGTGTAAGTGACAAAGTTTGTCTTTAGGTTTGGTGTAAGTGATAAAGTTTGTGTTTATGTTTGGTGGAAGTGATAATCTTTGTCTTTATGTGTTCGGTTTAAATGCCAAATTTTGTCTTTATGTATTTGGTTTAAGTGACAAAGATTGTCTTTATGTTTGATGGAAGTGACAAAGTTTGTCTTTGTGTTTGGTGTAAGTGACAAAGTTTGTGTTTATGTTTGGTGGAAGTGACAAAGTTTGTGTTTATGTTTGGTTTAAGTGACAAAGTTTGTCGTTATGTTTGGTGGAAGTGACAAAGTTTGTCTTTATGTTTGGTGGAAGTGACAAAGTTTGTCTTGATGTATTTCGTTTAAGTGACAAAGTTTGTCCCTATGTATTTGGTTTAAGTGACAAAGTTTGTCTTTATGTTGAGCGAAAGTGACAAAGTTTGTGTTTATGTTTGGTGGAAGTGATAATCTTTGTCTTTATGTGTTTGGTTTAAATGCCAAATTTTGTCTTTATGTATTTGGTTTAAGTGACAAAGATTGTCTTTATGTTTGATGGAAGTGACAAAGTTTGTCTTTGAGTTTGGTGTAAGTGACAAAGTTTGTGTTTATGTTTGGTGGAAGTGACAAGGTTTGTCTTTATGTTTGGTGTAACTGACAATGTTTTTCTTTATATTTCGTTGAAGTGACAAAATTTGTCTTAATGTTTGGTGTAAAAGACAAAGTTTGTGTTTATGTTTGGTGGAAGTGACAAAGTTTGTGTTTATGTTTGGTTTAAGTGACAAAGTTTGTCGTTATGTTTGGTGTAAGTGATAAAGTTTGTCTTTAGGTTTGGTGTAAGTGATAAAGTTTGTGTTTATGTTTGGTGGAAGGGACAAAGTTTGTGTTTATGTTTGGTGGAAGTGACAAGGTTTGTCTTTATGTTTGGTGTAACTGACAATGTTTTTCTTTATATTTCGTTGAAGTGAAAAAATTTGTCTTAATGTTTAGTGTAAAAGACAAAGTTTGTGTTTATGTTTGGTGGAAGTGACAATGTTTGTCTTTATGTTTGGTTTAAGTGACAAAGGTTGTCGTTATGTTTGGTGTAAGTGACAAAGTTTGTCTTTATGTTGAGCGAAAGTGACAAAGTTTGTGTTTATGTTTGGTGGAAGGGACAAAGTTTGTGTTTATGTTTGGTTTAAGTGACAAAGTTTGTCTTAATGTTTAGTGGAAGTGACAAAGTTTGTCTTTATGTTTGATGGAAGTGACAAAGTTGGTCTTTAAGTTTGGTTTAAGTGACAAAGTTTGTCGTTATGTTTGGTGTAAGTGACAAAGTTTGTGTTTATGTTTGGTGGAAGTGACAAAGTTGGTCTTTATGTTTGGTGGAAGTGACAAGGTTTGTCTTTATGTTTGGTGTAAGTGACAAAGTTTATCTTTAGGTTTGGTGTAAGTGATAAAGTTTGTCTTATTGTTTGGTGTAAGTGACAAAGTTTGTCTTTAGGTTTGGTGTAAGTGATAAAGTTTGTGTTTATGTTTGGTGGAAGTGACAAGGTTTGTCTTTATGTTTGGTGTAAGTGACAAAGTTTGTCTTTAGGTTTGGTGTAAGTGATAAAGTTTGTGTTTATGTTTGGTGGAAGTGACAAAGTTTGTCTTTATGTTTAGCGAAAGTGACAAAGTTTGTGTGTATGTTTGGTGGAAGTGATAATCTTTGTCTTTATGTGTTTGGTTTAAATGCCATATTTTGTCTTTATGTATTTGGTTTAAGTGACAAAGTTTGTTTTTTTGTGTTTGGTTTAAGTGACAAAATTTGTCTTTATGTTTAGTGGAAGTGACAAAGTTTGTCTTTATGTTTCATGGAAGTGACAAAGTTTGTCGTTATGAATTTGGTTTAAGTGACAAAGTTTGTCTTCTGTGTTTGGTTTAAGTGAAAAAGTTCGTCTTTATGTCTAAAGAGAAAGCATGTGATCTTTAGTTTGCCACGGGTGGTCGGGTGGCAGCAGTGGACAACACATTCGCCTTTCACCAAGATGGCCGGGGTTCGATTCTCCGATCGGAAGTGAAAAGGTTTGGATCACCTGTCCGACCACGTGGGCTTTCTCCGGTTACTTCTGTTCCAGCCCACATTCAGACCCCCCTGAGCGTTGTTTAAATAATTGCTTTAAAACAACTGAATCATCTGTACATGGTCCAACATAGTGTTACTCACAGATCAAATATATTCAATTTAATTGTTTTTTGATGCCTGATTCAACGCCAAGCCAAGAAATAATGCGAAATGAATTCATCCAATATATATTTAAATAAATCACGTCACGGTATTTGTAATTTACCACTGATGACAAATTGTACGTATCGCAATTTCATAAACATCCTGACTCATGAATAAGGAATACACAGAAAGGTTTCGGAAAGTGGATATCACAGCTGGACACGTATATCGGTGTAGATATGAAAATCTGTCTGTAATCTCTGTCTGATATGAAATGAGAAATAATTTTTAATCTCGTAGTTTCTGTATGATACTTTTACTATGATGAGTTTTACACATGTGAGGGATGTTCTTTGTTAAAACTCGAGTTTGACCATGCACATTTGAAACAAAGATTGTATCGTTTCTTGAGTAGCATTACCGTCACGTATACATTGCAACGTCACTTGATTAGGCCTACCTGAAAGGAATTTTCACGTGTTTTTATTTTATATAATATGTGTATAACTTTGAATACATTAAGAGAACCTCTGGCAATCTTAAAGAAAAATCTTGATTCGAGTGTCTTAAATATCATATGGCTTGTGAAAGATTTTTTTACCACGTTATCAAGATTTTTTTTTCGAATATTGCGAAAAAGGCACATTTTCCCCAGATCTTTCCCGGCGTCTAAAATACCACCGTCTTAGTTTTATATTGTTTTTTCACCATTGTATCATCCTCATAAACTATGGAAATATGTGACGTTATTTTATGACTATTTCATGACGTCACAAAAGGCCATATTAACCTGGTTTTATACGAAAAATATATGACATGGGTGTAATCTCTAATTAAATTTATAATCATGTGACGAACCTTGTTGTATCAATATGGAGTTTATAACATGTAAATTAGGCTCATATAATATATAAAGCTAATATCTAAAAGCGTTTTCATCCATCTTTTTAATGAAAGTTAGTTATAATTCAGGTGATGAACATTTAATAGATAAATAAAATATTTTCTTTAATTCATTCCGTATTCACCAGTTTTTATATTCGGAATAATTTTAGCTATTACGTGTTATTTTTACCAATGTCAACCGTGATGTCTTTAATTATTCGTGATCATACAGGGATGGAACTTTGATTTTCCTAAAATTCATATACGTTATTTGAGACGCGGATAGAAACGTCAAAATGACACTGACCAAATTGCGTTCATATTTCTTCCGGTTTATAAAAAGGACTTGCTGTCGAATGTAAATTTAGTTGCATGGTATGTGCTTGTGTGTTTCAGCGTTTTCTTTTTTTAGAACACAGAAATATTTTGCAAAGAATGTTGTGAAGTTTTCTACAGTTCCTATTCTTATCAAGTTCTTTCATTTTACGTCAAAAGTCCGATAACAGTTGTTATCGTCCACATTTCATGATCGCACTTTTAACTCGTGAGTTGTCATACATGATATATAAATTACCACTTGGTTAGACAATAATGTTATTGACACCATCGGATCACGGATATATAATATCAACCAAAGACGCTGTAGTCTAAAATTGTCGACACAGAACGGTTACCAGAACTTTCACCGTGGTACATAAACATTCCAAGGGCTTTAAAAACATCGTCATGTATATTGCAAGAATAATTACATGTACTGTTCTTGTGACTGATGTCCATAGCTATTTCTTAATGGCAGCTCTTCAAAGGAAGTGTTTTGAAATACAAACCAAAATATAATTCCCAGATTTTACTACATAGTCACTAGGCGATTAAGTGAAACATAAAAAATGCTTCTAACTTTCGTGTGTACTGGACAGTAATGTGTAATTGCGTATTTGAATGAAATGCTCTTTAAGGGCAGAATGGGTTCCGAATTGTGACAGAGTCTTATTAGCTTACGGTATTGAAACTGATTTTTCGCCGCAAACAACTCTGCCAAAACTGGAAAAACGTAAAGTGGTATTTAACTATATTCATTCAGCTATGTAAATGGAATATTTCAAAACTAAGAGGCTTATAAGACGTATATATTCGGGGCTAAATGGGCTAGTGAGTAGGGGTTATAGGCACGTGCACAGATTTGGGTGCGATATGTAGCCACAGTGACACGCTACCGTCGCGGTGGTGGGAACGGTTTCCATGACAACGGAGAGACAAGAGAGGCTGATATAGGGTCTGGCGAACATGTGTCAGGAGTTTCGAGGATCGTTAGGGTGCTACCGAGGAACCAGATACCACTAATATAGCTTAAACAGAATCAGCCAAACATTCATCTAATAGTGTTTTTTTAAACATTTTTTTTTCGCCACCTTAATGGTCTAAAAAATATGTGTGTCACAAGGAATTCCAATACAGATGTTTAAGATATACCACTACAGAAGTGGGCTACCGTGTTTCATTTTTTTTTCTCCATCAATGACTCGTTTGAAATAAAAACAATTGACAAACCGTTTCTTCGAAGCATTCCTGAATCATTTAAAACGGTAAAATAAATGAAAATCGCGAATTTTCAAATTGCATCATACACGAACCTATAGATTTCAAAAGATTGAATATATGTTGTCAAATAACAAGTCTGTACATTTTCAGGTTCTTGACTGGAGACACAACTGCATGACTTGTCCTTTGTCAGACCATTACTTTGAGAAACACACCTGCTTTCTCGCAGTAGGTTGGTTGAAATACATAACAGTTAATTGTCAGAACGCGTCATGAGACACATGCTCTTTGTGACACACCTGTCGTTTGTCCGTGCGCGACTTGAGATACGCACCTGTCCTTTATCAGAAAATGATGAGACAAACACTTGTCCTTTGTCAGAACGTAACATGAGACACACATCTGTCCTTTGTCAAAACGTGATTTGAGACGTATACCTATCCTTTGTGAGAACGCGAGATGAGACACACACCTGTGTTTTGTCAGGACGCCACATGAGACACACACCTGTCCTTTGTCAATACGCGACATGAGACACACAACTCCCTTTTGTCAGAAAGTGACATGAGACACACACCTGTCCTGTGTCAGAACATGACACGGAACACACACATGTCCTTTGTCAGAACGTGACATGAGACACACACCAGTCTTTGTCAGAATGTAACTTGAGACACACAATTAAGGTAGCCAACTTTAAAACCAACGCTGAAGAGTTCTACTTTAGCTTTCCCATCAGATGTAATGATTATTACCTAAAATGATGCTTTAACTGTCCTGCTATAATGTGACCTCATTTTATTAAAGTGACGTCATTCAACTATTTGATCTATATAGATTTACAAGACAAAATCTCATACTAAAACAGGAGAAATCTTAATCTGAAAGGTGATATTCTTAATTATAAGGGGCTACAATGACCGAGTGGGCAAGGCGTCTGACCGTCTACAATCACTAGCCCTTCACTACTGGTTCGAGGATTCGAGACCTACGTGGGTAAGTCGCCAGGTTTTGGCTGCAGGTCAGTGGTTTTTCTCTGGGTAGTCCGGTTTCCCTTCACCACCACCACCTCCTGGCACGTCTGTAAAGGAACATAGTTGTTACATGACCTAAAGCAGATATTGCGTTAACGATATTCCCCTTTAGGAATAACTTTGTTGATTTCTTAACGACCCGATATAAATGAAAATTAAAATGTATATTTCTGACCGCGTTGTCTACATGTCGTCGGTGATCGGTGACACACCGCAATAGATAACATACCAGCTATTTGGGTGTGCTGAGAACTCAGATATCGCTTCGAATACAGATAACGCTGATATCACCGGTTACGATAACTTCACTATCACTGGGACGCCATGATAGCGTCTCCGTTTACAGTGTGTGAAATTACACAGCTTCTCCAGATGTATTCCGAGGTTTTCGTTTTAATCATATTTGTCTGTATTATTTTTATTCCGGAAAAAAACCAGGGATGGTGCGGCAGAAGTATCATTGGTCAACAAACATGTATTTTCTCTCGTAAGAATATTATACAAACTTAAAGACATGCACATTCAATATGATTTTTTGTCACTTGCTATAAATTCAATTCCATAATGTCGTTTTCTTATTTCACCAGGGAACGCTATTACATGTATGTCTGTCGTGGATAATTGGAAATGAAATGAGAAAAATAAATAATAAATAATATTAAATTAATAAAAAAAAAAAAAAATTGAGAAAAAAAAGTGAAAATATGTCCTCAAGATGAATATTAAAAAAAACAAATACGGGGAAAAATATCCCTATGAAATTCGGATGTAACAAAAAATAGAAATGAAATTCTAACAAAATAAGAGAACTGCAATTAATTTAAATATATATTTAGCAAGTATTGAACCTGATAAACCTTTGCTTTAAACAGCAGTAAGTCGTAATTTCCATATGAGGTCCCCCAACGTTTTGTCAGGATAAAAAAAACCGTTAGAAAAGTTAGTTGCACAGCATGTTTTAGATCCGGGCCACAGCTCCTGGTATTACCATGCTCCCCAGGTTCCACAGACCGCGAGGTCTTAATCAAACGTTTTATCTGCGTGTCGTACTCGCAGTGGTTAGTGGAAAAAAAGTTGGATTCAAATGTCCCGAATTAACCCCAAACTTCCTGCCATATGTCCGCCATCATCACACTCGGCCTCTACAGGTGTTTATGTTACCGATAACCGCCATTTCCTGTTCTCGCTATGGTTTCACTTTCCAACACAGACAAAAAACTGTCACAGCAGTAGCGACAGAACCGGAAGTGTAGTCTGAGGCGCGTCTGTTTGTTTATATTAAGGGTGAATGGATCTGTGCATTTAATTTCAAACATGTTTCGATGGTAGCGACAATAATTTATTGATAAACACAATCAACCTCTTCCTTTCTGTGCTAGATTGGTAAACAGAGGTTTGCGATTTTCATTAATTAATTAACAGAAAGAGATGGAGTATTGAAATGATCATTAATTAAGGCCATTGGTGGCGTTGATTTAATTTTGAATGTATTAATGCATAATTTGTATTTAAAAAACCCACCTTTTTCTTCATATATAATAAATATAAAAAAATGCAAAAAAAAACCCAAAAAAAACCCACAAACTTTTCACGCACCTCTTCTTCTCCGCTCTACTTTTGTTTTTTGTTTCGTTTACATTTAATTACATACACACACATCACCAGTATTGTACTAAGTGCTACTCAGATACAGACAATATCACTATAATTATTTTTAAATCCCCCTTTTAAGAGGACTAACGGAGGTTGCCCCCAAAGCTTGGATTCGAACCCGCACCAACCAGCACACTGGGTATCTAACGCCATGCAAGGCTGTACATAGACTTTATGGCCAACTGTGGCTGGTAAGATTGTAATAATAATAGAACATATTAAATCCGGGAAAAAAAAGAAAATATTATAAATAAAAGACGTTTGCCAGCTGCTCCTTTGTGACAGTAAAGTGCTAATGTATTGTCAAGAAGTGCCTGCTCACTTAGACATGACATTTTTATCTCTCTACTAGGCGATCGTGAAGCGTTAGGTTCACTTGTAAGCTGGCCTTGATTGCACACTTGCACCAGTAAGTATATTTAAATGGTTGACAGGAAAATGAGAATGATTTTCCCTCTAAACCTAACAAGTAAATATGTTAACAATGACCGTCTCCTCCACTGACACAACTACGAACGTGACGGTATCATCTGTTTGTGTTTGTGTAAGGCTGTATCCCATAAAATCCCAAATTATACACTAAATATTCCAACCGGAATTGCATTACACACTTTGAAAGTATTTGTGTGTCACGGTTCGAAGGTGTTGAATGGAAACAAATTGTCGGCTCGTTGTTATAGTTGTGCTTATAAACTTAGCAAACTTTTTAAGGCAAATTAACTTAGGGGTCAAGCTTGTGTTGTAACCGTATCACCCGTATACAGTATGTGATATGTTCTTAGATCACAGAAAAGAAAATCACATCTAAAAGTATAAATCGCTCTAAGGCTCTAGGACTATAGTTATAAGCATACCAAGTTCGGTTGGCATTCATATAGACTGTAAATGCCATGACCGACGTGTTGACGTCATAATTGTGACGTTAGATACCCCTGACTCTCAATCATTGGTATTCATTGTACAAGCAAACGCGATACATTATACTTATTGTGAAGTGAATATTGAATTTTATTCAGAAATATTTTTTTTATTTTTTTATTAAATACACCGAAAAATGACCTGCAAAAGCTGTATCATTTATTTATACTGTAAATGTCTCGTCAACACAGTTCAGTGCTTAGTTAACATAAAGATAATTAACTTTCTACTATTTTAACACGATTATAATGGTATGATCATCTAATATGATAATGTTTATTGCACGTTGATTTAAAGAATGAACAAAACGTCAATGTTCCGCACCGGTTGTAGTCTCTCAATGACGATTTGTCTGACGCTCTGCAGTGTATAGTACGCGCGCGTCTTAACAACTTCACAAACATATTTTATACCCATAATGCCCCGCGGTGTCAGATATATAGCCGTGTGATTGATCCCAGAGACAGAGTGACCTCTGGGAAATCTCAATTTGTAACGCGTTATCTGATTGGTCGATAAACTGTAAGACATTTGCATAACTAATGTGCGGACCAATATCAATTTGTGCGCGTGTATTACCTTGTATTCTCACGTGTCTGGAGGCGGTTTACTGGGTCTTGCATTGACTCACGCCCGGCCACTACTACTATGAATGAAAACTCTTTTGTTGGCTAAATTGGCAACAGACTCTGTTCGGCCTTGAGGTGTTGTACAATTATCAAACCAATACACTTTACTTACCATCCGGATTCTACGTAGGTAAGAACCACTGCCAACTGCGTATGAATTATGTGTCACAGGTATCGGTAGAACTCATCAATTCGTCATTACCTGATGATCAATATGCACTAATACATATAAACCACACCTTATGTCTATCTTCTAATCACCTTATAATCAGCATCGCTTATTGTTAAAAACTTAATCCACAACTTTCAAAAATTGAAATAAGGAAAAACCGTTATTTTTTTTCTTTCTCATCGAGTTGTAAGATTATTGAACAGCCTGCCAGAGGATGTGATTTCAGCACCATCATTAATTCCAATTAAAATCAGACTCGATAAACACTGGATTGATCAGGAACTGCAACGTTATTACAGAGCTTATATACTTTGTTAAACGTATGATGTTCATAACTGAACTTTAATAAAAGTTTAAATGTACGTATTTTCTTTTTTTTTTTTGAAAACATGTTGGAATTCCATCATACAGATCCTGTATCGGAATATAATCGAAAATGAATAGTTTTCATGGGACGTTCAGGTGGCGTAGTGGATAGCGCACTCGCCTTTCAAAGGTTCCTCTGGGTAATCCGGTTTCCTCCCTTTGGGCGTTTCCATCCGGGCCAACAAGAGTGATTAATATAAGTCGTCTTGTTTCATAGTTGTTGTAATATACATACAATTTATATATCTATATATTGTAAATGAAAGGATTGATACACGTGTATATCAAAATAGTTTTTATTTTACTTTATTCATTTTAGAACAATTATGAAATAAGTTAATTCAGCTTATATCAATCACTCTTGTTGGCCTGGATGATAGCATGCAGGGGTTTTAATGTTGGAGGAAACCGGCGTTACCGGAGAAAACCCACGTGGTCGGACAGGTGACCATCCATACCATTTCACGTCCGACAGGGATAGCGAACCCCGGCCGCCTTAGTGAAGTGCAAGTGCTCTAACCACTGCGCCACTCGACCACTTAAGCAGTAAAATTACTGAAGCTGTTAAGTCACATGAAGTTTTTCTGATGAGTGCAGTGTTGTAGAAAGTCGTGATTGTGGGAGGGCTCCATATGTTGGGTAAGACAGGATAGATATATTGTATTACAATTATTTGATAGCTTTGCTATAAACAGTTGCGGTGAGTTGTACAATTGTTTGTTTGTTTGTTTGAATGTGGTTTAAAGTCCTCATAACAGCTGAGGTCATACGAGGACAGGGCCCGTATCTATGAAACCGTTCTCATGCTCAAGCATGGATTCTGTGCTCAAACCAACTTTCTTGTAACTGACTTAAATAATGTCAAACGAGCAAGAAATCAAATGTTATTATTGAAATCATTGACAAAATCTTTTTTTCATCAATTTATAACTAGAACAAGAAATTAGGCTTGAGCACAAAATCCATGCTCGAGCATGAGAACGGTTTCATTAAAACGGGTCCAGATGTCTTAAGAAACACCATAAAAAAGGAAAGAGTAGGGAAGTAAGAAAATAGATATATCTCGAGTGTTGCTATGGGGCCAGTAGGTCAGTTGTGTTGACATGGCTTCGTCACCAAAAGGTCACCACCCAAAATTGGGCTTGGGTCCCCTTAGTAGAAGACACAAATAAAACCTCACCATTTTTGCAGGGGGGTGCCACATTAGTCGCCTCTTAAAATAACATGTAGTGGGATACAACAGGCTAAATCATTCCCAGAACCTGCAGAGGTTGAAGTGGTGGTAAAGTGTACGAATGTATCTAAATTT